TGGAATGATTACTTTGCCCAATGAGTTAAATGTTGGCTTGGCTGCTGGATCATTGCTTGTTTCTGAGATTATTGGAATCAGAAAACATCGCTGAAGCAGAATAAGAATAAAAAACCACAGTAGGAAATACTGTGACTCAAACGTTTCAATTCCTTAGAGCTTGGTGTCTTAGGAAAGAACTCACGAAGTCCTCGCCAAGTTACTATTCACATCTTACAAATGAAAGGTGCTTTTAAAGCGTTTGATAGCTCATTATTGAAACCTTAATCAGATCTTACTGTACTTCTAGAAATAGGATGCCAGTAACAGCAGATCATGGCAGTGTTTTCCGAGAGTTGAGAAACAAAAAACGGTACCTAACCCATCAATGAATGAGGTGATTAACAACACACTGAATGCAGCAGAGCCTGGTTTTAGATCCTTCAAAACACCCAGGGCTCCCGAGGCCGAGAACAGGTTCAACGCCCTCGTTCCCTTGGTCTGTTTCCTGCCGTGCACTCTCAGGCCGCAAACTTCCCCGGAAGTCCGTGAAGTCACCGAGGGGTGGGGGACCCCAGGGCGGCGGAGACCCCAGCGTGACTAGCCGGGTCATTTAGATACCTCTCGCCACCCACAAGGAAACGGCCCAGGAGGCACGCTTCCCGCAGACCGCTCACTGTGACGGTGAACTTGACCCGAGCCAGCGGCCGCAAGTCGGCGCGCGGCGTGCAGGTGGCTGGCAACGCGCCCCGCTCCGCCCCGCCCACTGCGGTCGGGCTCGGCCAATCCCGGGCCGCGCGCCCCGGCCGACGGAAGGGACCTTACGTCACTGCGAGGCCGCCAGCCCACTTCCGGCGCCCAGCCGGCCGTGGGTGATGTGCTCGATGGCCCACGCTCGGGGGGCATTTCACACGGGGTGGGTGCAGAGGCGAAGCCGTCCCCGGGGCCCCTCACAGACCTCGGTGTCAGAATTTCCCCCTTGCGCCAGCGCTGCCTCAAATGTCAGGGCTCGCCCACTCTTCTCCGTTCTCGTCGGCCTAACCTTTCGGGGTCTCCGGAGGGGAAATTCGCCGCTTCTGCCGGACCTCTCCAGAGCGGGCCCTGAACCTAACCTTTAGTGGATGTCGAAAAAGACAGTAATACCCCCAAATGGCTTCCTTATACCCAATAACGACAACTTAACACCCTCACCCCACCCCCCCAGCTTAAGGAATAGGAAATAGAAATGATGTTTAAGGTCCCTTCTGCACATGAAATTCCCCATTCACCGTGTGGTGAAAGGAATTTGACGTGCGGAATACGATTAAGATAGGAATAAAGTTGATTGAAATCATACCATAAACTGTAGTGTTCTACACATATATTAATCTATAACCATATTCAAAGGAAGGGGCGTTGTTAGGATAATACTTAGGAAGCATTTACTGAGCAGCTGCTATGTGCCAGAGATTGCAGTAGATGCTAGGGATTCAGCATTGACCAAGACAGGAAGGTTTTGTCGTGACATTCACAGGATCAAGGGGAGACAAACAGAAACAAGACAAAATACTAGAATCAGTGCTGGCAATGAAATAAAAGGATACATTCATAGGAAATTATGTGTGTTATTTAGTAGGATGAGATTTAAGATGTAAGTGACCCATGAAAAAATAACCCGGCAGCAGTTTATTTGCTATTTATTGTGACCAGGCTAATTATGGGGAGAGTTGCTTTTGGAACCAGGATCAGTAAGGTCCTGGAGGACTGTTGCTAATGTAGGGGAAGCAGACTTTACCTCTGCCTTCTCAGGGTCTCTCTTTGGGCCTGAGAATTAAATTGACCTAAAAAGATTAACAGGAGAAAAGCACACACATTTATTTAATACAAGTTTTACTGTGACCTGGGAGCCTTCATAAGGAAATGAAGACCCAAAGAAGTGGCAAAACTTAAATGCTTATAAACTGAATTGAACGAAGAGTAGCAATTGTGAAAAAGTAACTAAAATAAAATGGGCAGACTAAAGGAAGAGTTGCTTTAAAAAAAAAACAAAAAAACAAAAAAAAAACCAACAAAGTTTCTGTACAAATCGTGCCAGACTCAAGGCCCTTTCTTTTGAGAGTTTCATCTTGTGCTTTTGGAAGAAAAGAATGGAAATCAGAGTGCCTGTTTTTGCACTTGCGGTTTTCCAAAGGCCTTTAATTCAAAATAATCAACGTGCTAAGTGGCATGTTTGTGAACTCCTTCGCTAAGGTTATCTGCATGGTTGAATTGTGAGCTCCACAAGGCAGAACAATACTGCTTAATTAAATGTTGCAAATGCTGCAAGAAACTGATGAAAACAGGGAATCTTTCAGTTTGTACTTCCCACAATGCATAGAGACTTGTCAAGTGTTGAGTAAAAACTGTAGTGGATGGGATGGGGTTGTTCTACCTGGAAGTAAGAGACTGAACTAGGAAGCGTCTTCATTGCCAATTGTAGAGCAACGTCTTTTGGTAAATGGTTTAATTTTTGGACTTCGTTCTGTAAATGTGTGATGAGAAATAGGTATGAACTATAGAGTTAAGACAGTGTCATGAGTGTTACTGACTTATTATTAAGTAATACTGATAGCGTCTCTGGTGGGTAGAGTGTGAAATTTGGCATGAGAATGAATCTGACCAAGTCTCTGCAAGACCTTATACAGTCATTTCACCCCTCTGGACCTCAACCTCTGCATTTGGGAAATGAAAATTATGTTAAAACCTGCCAGGAAGTCAATATATAATGTCTAAAACCAAAAAATGACAAATAACAGTATTAGCATATTGTTTTAAGATACTCAGATAATTACCAGAAGGAATAAAGAGTTAAAAGTCTTTGCCTCTGGAGAGCAAGGCTGAGGGGTATGAAGGACTGAGTCAGAGGTCGCTGTTTTTCATTATGAGGCTTTTGCTGCTGTATCAGTGAGCTACTGCTGTGTAACAAAATCTGAGTACTATAGTCCGGCATTTGGCTATGGTGATCTGATTCAGGTACAAGTATAGGTTGGCTCGGGTAGCTCCTTTCCATGTGTTCATTTTGAAGACCAGGTTGAGAGGGTGCCATTACCTTCACTGGGAGAAAGCTCTGCCTATGAAAATGCAGAAGTACCAGTCAGCAAGCCTAACCATTGAGTCAGTGATTTTTAAGGCTTCGATCAGTTCATGTCAGTTAACATTCCATTAGCCAAAACAAGGACAAACCCAAACTCAAGGGGCAGCACCCTCCACTCCTGCAGGTGAAAAAGTGAGAGTGAACATTTCTGAAAAATAATCCAACTACCATAAGTAATATCTGAGTTTTTTAAACTGTGTAATGTATTCGTGTGATGAAAAATTAATGCTGAGTTAGGTACATTTCAGATCTTGAAGGTGATGCAGACGTCTCAGGA